TTTCGAGCAGTTTAGGTATCCAGTTCGCACAAACCAGATTCCCCGTCAGATTCCTCAACAGACTTTCATTAGAAAACCACTTTTTGGCCTCATCATCAGTGGCATTTTACCTTTTGGCTGTATTTTTATTCAACTCTTTTGCATTCTAAACAGTATTTGGTGAGTATTGTATCTTCATAATCTCAAAAATATTAAATGTTAATAAATTAATTTTTTATATGTCAAAGAGGTTAAATTCTGGTGTGGTAAAACTTTATTTGCTACCCTGTTTTATCCAGGAAATAGCAATCTGACCTGAGGGAATTTCCTAGGAAACTAAGACTTAATTCACAAAATTATAAAGCTACTTTTGGATGGAAATGTCTATAAAGATTTCCTTTTTGGAAATGAATAACCTCTTTTTTTTGTTTTGTGGTACGCGGGCCTCTCACTGTTGTGGCCTCTCCCGTTGCGGAGCACAGGCTCCGGACGCGCAGGCTCAACGGCCATTGCTCACGGGCCCAGCTGCTCCGCGGCACGTGCGATCTTCCCGGACCGGGGCACGAACCCGTGTCCCCTGCATCGGCAGGCGGAATCTCAATCACTGTGCCACCAGGGAAGCCCTTAATAACTTCTTTTTAAGCCTTTCCAGGTGACTTAGAAAAGTTGGTCTCAAACTGTACTTCTTTGAGATTTTGCAAGGGGTGGGATGGGGGTGTCCCTTGGAGGGAGGTGCGTAAAGATGGGAAGGGGCAGCTCTGATTTGTATCTGTTTTCCTTACTGGCCTTCCATGCAAGATTTCATTTAGAGTTTCTCTGCTAAAAATAATTTGGAGACCACTGATTTTGGGTCTTCATCTGTACTGAGCTATAAGTAATGGTTTTCTATCTTCCTTTCTGTCAACTGTTAGTTCTGATGTCAGATGCCTTTTCCTTATAACTTTCCTCTTTTTATCTGCTACTTTTAATTTGTTGTAGTTTAAGAAGTCTAATAGCCAAGATAGTTAGAGATGCATGTGAAGTAGGAACAGGTACTCTCTGATTAAAGTGCCACAGCTTTAGTGCCCCTGCTTTGTGACAGCTATTTCAGTTGCTCCAAGTCCCTTTTTTTCTTACTTCCTGATTCTTGACAGCATTTTGGTTTCGGGAGTTGGCCAAGTGGGGTGTTACTGTGGAAGGATTTTTGGAGAGGGGGCAAAAGCACCATAAAATGAAATAAGATAAGATAAAATAAAATAAATAAAATGCAGTCGCCAACTGTGTGTGTTTATAACACTTTTGTCCCAAAGGAATCTTCTGGACAAAACTTTGAAGTCCTTGGAAATTAGGCTTAATCATGTACATTAATTGCTCACCTTTTAAACAGCATTGTGTCAAAATTGTTTAAAAGATAAGCAATAAAATCTGTTACCTTGTCAGCAACTAAATATTTAACATGCTGCGAAATAGATTACAGTAACCAAATTTTCCAGATGTTTTTGAAGGAAAAGTAACTTTAAAGCGAAACTGAAAGATTCTTTAGATGAATTAATTTAAAAAAGTTTTTTTAACTTTTTACTTTATATTGGAGTATAGTTGATTAACCATGTTGTGATAGTTTCAGGTGCACAGCAAAGTGATTCAGTTATATGTATACATGTATCTCTTCTTTTTCAAGTTCTTCTCCCATTTAGGTTGTTACAGAATATTGAGCAGAGTTTCCTGTGCTATGCAGTAGGCCCTTGTTGGTTATCCACCTTAAATACAGCAATGTGTACATGTCAATACCATATTCCCTAACTATCCCTTTTCCCCCACCCTTTCCCCCTGGTAACCATAAGTTCGTTCTCTAATAGATGAATTAATTTTTGTTTCAATGAGAAACAGCACGCTTGTTGCGTACAACTTTGTATGTATTTATTAACTCTAGAGATGATTCTCTCCTACCTCCATCCTTCATCCTCACTCCCAGGTGTATATCTTACATGAGGTTTTAAAATGGGATATTGATCGGTTCACCAGTTGCTTCTTCTCTTCAGAAGGCTTTTAAAAATGTGTATTTCTTATCCCAATTTAGTCAGCTCGCTCTATAATAATGAAAGAAATTACTTCATTCCTTCGAAGTTTGACCTAAATGTAATCCACACATAGATGTTTTTAAAGATGCATGTTTGAAAGTATATTTAATAGAATTATGTGTGTCATGCTATAAAGACCTATTAGGGGAAGCTACCTGTCAACAGACCTCCAAAAGCAAAATGGCGTGTGTTTCTGTGGTTTTCTGTTGTATAATGTAGTCACTGGTATTTATGGCATTTACAACCTTCCATTTCTAAAGAGAAAGCATGTTTTTAAATGTGTATAGAGAAAATTGATGGGTCTCAAGTGAAAACTAAATTATAGGATCAGAGAAATATGGGTAAGTAGCAACACTGATTCTGACGAGAGAGGATATGACCAAACTCTGAAGCTGTGTAGGTAAAGGAATATATATATATATATATATATATATATATATATATATATATATATACTCGATACTACATGGATACTACATGGATTTGATGATACTGCATGGATAGATGAAGGTTTGGAATGAAAAGCCCAAGGTGAGAAAAGTGTGTGACAGTTTACTGTATAGAGTTGGACGGATCTTTTTGTGTGTATTGTTAAGTTAAAGATTATTTTAAAGCTGTCATTTTTCTTTTCAGGTCTCATCAGATGTACTTCATGTTTGGCTTCCTTTTCTTAGTCTTTATAATTCTCCTGATTATTTGTTCAGAAGCTACTGTTCTGCTGTGTTATTTTCATTTGTGTACTGAGGTAAAGACATAGGAAACAAATGTATCTGAAGCTTTCTAAACTTGCATTACTGGAATTAGAGGTCTGTGTTGAGAAAGGAATTGAAATAAATGTTAACTGCATGGTTTCTATAACTTGGGATCACTTTTATATTGTGTTTTTCTAATGACACATTTTAATTTTAATGCATCTATCAAGTTAATGCTACTTTGATGGAAAATTTTCAACAGAAAGCAATTTCTCTCTGGCTAGTTACTATAATTGCTGCGTAATATTCAGTTAACATAGAAAAATATAGGGAACTGATTTGATAGTTTAGACATATAAAAGATCTGGTTCGATGATGTTTTCTTTTTAACAATTAAAATTTTCTTGCAGCTTAGGCCAGGATTTCATTTTATGGGTTTGAGATTGCTGCTAAAGGCCCTTTGTCTTTCATTTCATTGCCTTTTGGTTACCATGGGCATAAATAATTCTTTTTACCCCATGCCATCCCCAATTTTTTCCTGATGTCATTTTGGATAACTAAGCTGGTGGTGAACATGTTTTCTTTTTTTTTAAGTTAATTAATTAATTAATTAATTTTTGGCTGTGTTGGGTCTTCGTTGCTGTGCACGGCCTTTCTCTAGTTGCGGCGAGTGGGGGCTACTCTTTGTTGTGATGTGCGGGCTTCTCATGGCGGTGGCTTCTCGTTGCAGAGCACGGGCCCTAGGTACGCGGGCTTCAGTAGTTGTGGCACGTGGGCTCAGTAGTTGTAGTTCACGGTTTCTAGAGCACAGGCACAGTAGTTGCGGCTTGCTGGCTCTAGAGCACAGGCTCAGTAGTTGTGGCGCACAGGCTTAGTTGCTCCGTGGCATGTGGGATCTTCCTGGACCAGGACTCGAACCCATGTCCCCTGCATTAGCAGGTGGATTCTTAACCCCTGTGCCACCAGGGAAGTCCCTGAACATGTTTTCTTAAATCCCTTAAATCCCTCTTATTTTGGTAGTTTAATGTGACTCTCTAAAGGTGACAAGAGAGTTTAGGGAATGATTATTATATACATGATGTCTTAGAGCCTTTTTTTCTTGAGCTATAAGAATAAAGGTAAAAAATATATACTTATGTATATATTATACTTAGCTACTCATTCATTCTGTGGTACATTTTGTCATAGAAAATCTGCAACAGTCATTAATGAAACATACATTGATAGGCATATAATGTGTATATTTTTATTCCTTAGAAAATGTTTTGGGGGCCCCCAAGACCACCCACATGTTTGGTGACTCACTAGAAGGACTCATGGGACTCAGGGTATAGATGTCTTCTTGGCTAGGGTTTGTTACAAAAAAAGGATACACAACAGGATCAGCAAGGGAAAAAGACACAGGTGGAACCTGGAAAAAAATCCATGTGCAGTCTTCCTATGCTTTCTCTCTCTCATGAGGGGAGACACCAAGCATGCTCCTTTCTCCAGCAGTAAAAAAATGCAGGAATATATGTGCAACATGTCTGCCCAGGGAAGCCCATTAGAGGCTCAGCATCCAAGGTTTTTATTGGGAGCTAGTCACATAGGCACCCTCTGCCTAGCAACTCCAAAATTCCAGACTCTGAAAAGGAAAGCAAGTGTTCACCATAAATCACATTGTTTGTACAGTCTAGGTAGAGCAAACCAGTCTCATCAGTCAGGGAATGATTAAATGCCAAATTCCCAGATATAAGCCAAGAGTCAACCTTGTAAGCAGACCCTTCCAAAGATAGCAACCTCAGACCTGCTATGTTAACTTTTCTGCAAACTTTATCCCCTTGGCCCTTGACCACAGTGCCTTTATGGTAAAGTTACTATCAGGAAGGGCCCATGGGACAGGATGAGACTAACCTGATTATTGACCTCAGTCATGCCTCCATGGGTCCTGAATTTAGCCAGTTAAAACAAATCCTATTAACCGTAAAGGTCTGTCTTAGAGAAACAAACAGACTTATAGAAAAAGAGATCAGGTTTGTGTTGACCAGAGGCAGGGGTTGGGGGGAGGGAGAATTGGATGAAGGTGGTCAAAAGGTACAAACTTGCAGTTATCAGATAAATAAGTACTAGGGATGTAATGTACAACATGATAAATACAATTAACACTGTTGTATGTTATATATGAAAGTTGTTGAGACAGTAAATCCTAAATTCTCATCACAAGGAAAACATTTTTTTCTGTTTCTTTAATTTTGTATCTGTATGAGATGATGGGTGCTCACTAAATTTACTGTGAAAATCATTTCATGATGTATGTAAGTCACATCATTATGCTGTATAACTTAAACTTAGATAGTGTTGTATGTCAGTTATATCTCAATAAAAATCCCAATAAAACTGAAATGGTAAAAAAAGGTCTATCTTAAATTTCTATATTCACCTTTTTTTACCTGGCCTGAGGCATCAATTCAGGCCCAGCACAACTCTGGCCAGTAAATTGAAGCTGACCTGAAAGCCTTCCAGGGCCGAGGCAGCATCTGCAGAGAAAGGATGCACACATTAGAAGTACAATCCCCGAGGGCACACATTGTCCCCCTGGAAACCAAGAGTTTATCATTGTTAGGGCTCCCCAAGCAGGATGTACATTAGTCAGACAGTACATATTATATTAAATTTCTTATAAAACTTCCCCCTTTATTTCTTTTAATCCATAATCCTACAGAGCCTATTTTATGTTTCTTGTTATTACAATAATTGCTAACCCATGGATAGTTAGAATTTCATCTAAAAAATTTGTTTTTTCTACCTCTTTTTTGCAGGATTATCATTGGTGGTGGAGAGCCTTTTTTACCAGCAGTTTTACAGCTGTTTACCTTCTTTTGTATGCAGTTTATTACTTCTTTACCAAACTTCAAATCATGGGCATTGCAAACACCATTTTGTACTTTGGGTACACGATGATCATGGTCTTGATTTTCTTCCTTTTCACAGGTAAGCACAGAATTACTTTGTGTATTTCAGATTCTCTAAAAAGACTTGGCGATAGCCATGATATAATAAGCATCAATTAACAATTAATGGAAGGAAGAGGGATCAAAGTCATCATGTTCATTTTTATGCTTTGGAGATAAAAGATTGCAAAGCCCGGGGAGCTGGAGGGACCTTATGTACTTAGCTGTAAGACTGTCTCTTGTGAATGTTTTTAAACAGTAGGGATGTGTTCCAAAGCACAGTAAGGGTTATGTGTAATCACCTTTGACTAGCTCCCAAGCATAGAAAATTAACCGACTTGAATAACTTTTAAATGAGTAAAATTAGATTAAGTCAATATAAGCAATTATAGGTGAGGAACAAGATGTATACTTCTCAGGATTACTCATTTGGGATTGTTATTTGGGTTCCGCTGTGATGGAAACTTTTGTTTAAATTAATACTTGAAGCAGGTGAAAAAATGGCATGGTTTCTAAGATGATCCAGTTGGAGAAATAATGAAGATGGAGAGCTGTACTCCCTTTCTAACCCAAGGGAAGCAGCGGTCCACCTCTACCTGCCTCACTTTTAAGTTCTGGTTTTAGCTCAAGTCATATCACTTGTGTAGATAAGTTTGGAACATTTCAAATATTTTTCTCCGATTTTAACTCTCAGCCTCAACAAATATGGAAAAATTAACAATGGAAGTTTGTCAGAAATCAAAGCCTTAAGACACATGTAGACATTATCTGAGAAACTGGGCATCTCGGTTGGTGGCTTCTTTCTGTGCTTTTCGTATACTGCTGCTCTCAACTCCTCAGTAAAGAGAAGACTGGACAGGCCTTCTCTCATCTCTCAGCCACCAGAAGTTCTATTTAGGGACCTCCCTGGCGGTCCAGTTGTTGGGACTCCGCTCTTCCACTTCCATTGCACGGGGCCCGGGTTTGACCCCTGGTTGGGGAACTAAAAAAGTTCTATTTAAAACCGAAGGCCTGAGAGTGTCTCACCATTCTAGTCTACCAGCCTCCTCATGTTTGTTTTTGAGGTTTTTAAGCTTTTTACTGAAATATGCCTGCAGAAAAGTGCACACATCATAAGTGTAGAGCAGTGAGCACAATCTGTAACTGACACCCACGTTAATAAACAGTACGTGATCTGCATGCCCAAAGCCACTGTCGGGCCTCTTTCCATTCACCTTTCCCAAAAAGCAACCACTATCCTGACTTTTAACAGCATCGGTTAATTTGGCCTGTTTTTGATTTGTAGGTAAATGGAATCATACGAGATCTACTATTTTAAGTCTGGCTTCACTGGGGTCTGGTTTCTTTTTCTCAAGATTGTTTGCGAATTTCATCCGCATCGCTGTGCGTACGTGTTGTCTCTGCCCCTCGCGTGTTCTGTTTTGGGTTTCTCCCCTTGTGAGTTACTGGCTTTTCTATTTGTGTAATGTGCAGTTAGATGGATTATGTTTTTTTTTTCATTACCTAACACTTTGACTCAGGCTGCCTTTTTCTGGGAGTCTTATATTACAACAGCTTCTTTCAGAAGTTAGATGTCATCCCAAATGGTCACATCGCTGACAAAAATCTGTGCCCTTTGGTTGGCTCCACCACTTGAATTGCTTCTGTCACTAATATGTGACTCTCCAAGGCTCTCAGTGGTCTCTTGCCAAATCTAAGGCCTTTCCCTGGTCTTCATCCTCCTTGGCTTCTTAGCTAAACACTACTCAACACCTATTCTGTGAAATTCTCCCAGCATGATTGGCATTCTTCTTCTTGTACCACGCTGTGAATTCTTTTGTTTTCCTCCCTCTTCCTGTCACCTAACTCTAGCCTTTATCAAGGGTTCAGCTTTCAGCATTTCAGTCCTTTCTTTCTACACTCTCCCTTTTAGAGCTTATTTAGTCCCAGGGCTTCACTTATCTCCTCAGTGCTGACAGCTCCCAAATCTGTATCTCTAGTCATAACCTCTCTCCAATTATATTCTGAACATTTGCATGTCGCATTGGTACTGCCAACTCGACATGCCCCAGAAAGTGAATGTAGCACTTCCTTTCCCCCCAACTGACTCATCTTAATTTCTCTCTTCCTTTGACCATCATGTCTAATCTCTCATCTCCTTGGCTTATTTTGCAGGAATTCTTAACATAGCCCTTCCATGCTTTATAATTAATTACAACTCCCCTATTTATTCTTCTTCAGAAGCTTCTTATTCTGTTTTACACTGCACTAGACCCTGCGCTAGGTGCTGGGGACGTAGTGGTGAAGAAGACAGGTAAGGTCCCCTGCTTTTGTGGATCTTATATTTTAATGGATGGGGGACAAAGAAGGAATTATGGGTTTGATGAGCTTTGTGAAAGAAATGATATTGAAGAAGAGGTGGATAATCAAGTGTTTCAAACAGAGGTGACAGCATGTTCAAAAGTCCTAAAGTGAGAAGGAGTATGACATCTTCAAAGAACACAGAGAAGTTCAAGATGGCAAGAGAAGGAAGGTGGCACTAGGTGGCAATAGTGATTAGAGACATAAGGAGCTAGCAGATCTTACCAGGATCTTAAAAACTCTACTGTACTAGGGAATTTAGATTTTATTGTAGGAATGATGGGAAGTTGAGGGGGTTTAAATAGGGAACTAATGTAATAATATCACTCTTCTTATTTGAAGGCCTTAATACTGCCATACTTCTCTATCAAGGTCTAAACTTACCTTGGTGTTTGGGCTCCTGTTCTGCCTACTCAGCGTATTTTCTAAACCTCTTAAACTGAACCATTTACTGAGTTTAGGCGTGTCTCCTCCTGACTTTTTTTTTTTAATATATATTTTAAAAATTTATTTATTTATTTTTGGCTGCATTGGGTCTTCGTTGCTGCGCACGGGCTTTCCCTAGTTGCAGCGAGCGGGGGCTACTCTTCGTTGTGGCACGCGGGCTTCTCCTTGCAGTGGCTTCTCTTGTTGCAGAGCACAGGCTCTAGGTGCACGGGCTTCAGTAGTTGTGGCTCGCGGACTCTAGAGCGTAGGCTCAGTAGTTGTGGCACATGGGCTTATTTGCTCCACGGCATGTGGGATCTTCCCGGACCAGGGCTTGAACCCGTGTCCCCTGCATCGGCAGGCAGATTCTTAACCACTGTGCCGCCAAGGAAGCCCTCCTCCTGACTTTTTTAGCATGTCTCCCCACCTAACTTGGAATCTCCTTGAGAACAGGGACCACATCGTGTGCCTATTTTATATCTTTCATAGTGCTAAGCACGTGGTTCTTCTTGAATTGCATAGAACATGAAATAGAGGAGATACCATTATGGTATAATGTTTCCCTATCTATTTTATTTTATTTTAAATTAAAAAAATGTTTAGATTGAAGTATAACTGACATACAACATTGTATTCGTTTTTGGTGTACAACATAATGATTTGATATTTGTATATATTGCAAAATGATCACCACAGTAAGTCTAGTTAACATCTGTCATCATACACAGTTACAGAATATTTGGAGTAGATGAGAACTTTTAAGGTTTATTCTCTTAGCAACTTTCAAACATGCAGTACAGTATTATTAATTATAGTCACTATGCTGTACATTACATCCCCATGACTTATTTATAACTGGAAGTTTGTACCCTTTGACCCCCTTCACCCATTTTGCCCACATCCTCTCCCCACCCTCCAGCCTCTGGAAACCATCAATTTGTTCTTTGTATCTATGAGCTTGGTTGGTTTTGTTATTTTTTACTAAGATCCCACATGTAAGTGAGAGCATGCAGTATTTGTTTTTCTCTGTCTGACTTATTTCACTTAGCATAATGCCCTCAAAGCCCATCCATGTTGTCACAAAAAGCAGGATTACATTCTTTTTATGGCTGAATAATATTCCATTGTATACATATACCACATTTTCTTTATCTATTTATCCATCAGTGGACACTTAGGTTGTTTTCATATCTTGCCTATTGTAAATAATGCTGCAGTGAACATGGGGTACATGTATCTTTTTGAGTTAGTGTTTTCATTTTCTTTGGATAAATACCCAAGACTGGAATTGCTGGATCTTACAGTAGTTCTATTTTTAATTTTTTGAGGAACCTCCATACCATTTTCTATAGTGGCTGCACCAATTTACATTCCCACCAACAGTGCACAGGGTCCCCTTTTCTCCACATCCTCGCCAACACTTTTTATTTCTTGTGTTTTTGATAATAGCCATTCTGACCAGTGTGAGGTGACACCTCATTATAGTTTTGATTTGTATTTCTCTAATAACTAGTGATGTTGAGCATCTTTTCATGTACCTCTTGGCCTTCTGTATGTCTTCTTTGGAGAAATGTCTATTCAGATCCTCTGCCCATTTTTTTGTAATAAAATGCTTACATCTATCGTAACAGCCCTAAAATCTTTCTGGAGGGTGTACATTTTTTTTCCTTTCCAGTTTTTTTGAGATTTTTATTGAGATATAGTTGACATACAGCACTGTATAAGTTTAAAGTGTACAGCATAATGATTTGACTTACATAGTCATGAAATGATGATCACAGTAAATTTAGTGACTATCCATCATCTCATATAGTTACAAAATTGAAGAAATAGAAAGAATTTTTTTTCTTCTGCTGAAATTTACTTTCAGCAACTTTCGTATATAACGTACAGCAGTGTTAATTATATTTATCATTGTACATTACAACACTAATACTTATTTATCTGATAACTGAAAGTTTGTACCTTTTGACTGCCTTCATCCAATTCCTCTTCACCCACCCCTCACATCTGGTAACTACAAATCTGATCTCTTTTTCTATGAGTTTGTTTGTTTGTTTGTTTGTTGAAGTATAATTGACCTACAGCACGGTGTTAGTTCCTGGTACACAGCATAGTGATTTGATATTTCTATCCATTTCAAAATGATCACCATGATAAGTCTAGTTACCATCTGTCACCATACAAAGATTTGCATAATCATTGACTATATTCCCCACACTGTACATTTAATCCCATGACTTATTTATTTTGTAACTGGAATTTTGTACCTCT